AAAAAAAAAAAAAAAGATAAAAATTCTTTGCAAAAATTCAAGAAACTATGAGAATTCTAAGAAGGTCCTTTATTACATATTCTGAAATATTACAGACTTAAAATTAGCCAAAGTCTACTTAACTGTCACATGAACACAAGTTCTAAGCTTAAACCATATCAAAAGGCTTCTGTGTGGAAAGATTAGAACTATACAATCCTAAGTTAACTCTCTTCACTTTCAAAGGCCTTCCCATCCTCATCAAATAATGATTTGCTTCAAAGATCCATTATATAAGGTTTATCCAAGGGACATAATATCAAAGGGAACTTACTTGCCATTATAATTTTCAAAAAGGCTAGAAAAAGGGAGTCTTCTTTTTTCATAAAGAAAAGTTGGTCCTCTTTTAACACCCTCCTCTGCCATTTTAGTCCTAATGTCAATTATATCTAAGTTCAATTTGTAGAGTTATTACACTGTCCAGTGTATAAGAAGAAAGGAAATGGGTACTTAAAAGACTTAACATGGCATTCATAATGGAACTTGATCTCTGTCAGGTTTAAAGACTGACAAAAGAATGTTCTTTTACTCTAAGCTAATTTTCCATTTTAGATTGCCAGGCTAACAGTTCAGGAAAAAAAAATTATTAATAGAAGGTAGAAGTGAAAGAAGTTTCAAGAATAATATTTTAGTGAAAGAATAGATTAGATCAGTTTCCAATGGAAATGTTTAAGAGAACACATACATGTCTAATCACAAATGGAGGTTTATCTGTTTCTTTTTTGAATTCATAGGGTCCCAGATTTAAATGGGCCAGCCGCCGCCTGGTGTCTTCAGATAGCTCACACATGCGTCTTTTTGTGTAGGGAGATGGAGAGTGTGATTTTGAAGAAATTGTAGGCTGTTCGTAGTTTTTTGCATTTATGCAATATTTATTTCTCTCAGGTGACTTGGATTTTTTCTTCTGTGATCTTGATGTTCTGCTTTGCAGTCTGCCGTGTGATTTTTCAACTGGAGCCGTATGGTAAATAAATTTATCCTAAATATACGAAATAAAAGTTAACTTAGGCAGAAGACATATGTAGAAATATATGTAGATATATCTATCTATATATAAACTACAGGTAGGAAAAAAATTTAAAAATTAATTTAAAGCACATATAATCTATCAAAGCCAACTAGATTAGTCTTTCCTATCTATCCTAGATAACTCTTTGTCTAGTAGTTAATAAAGTATATGGTATTAAGTCTAGCAAGTCCAATATTTAATCATTTGAAAAATCTAAGAAACAAGGTCAGAAAAATTAGTTTTCAGTATATTAAAAAATGAATGTAAACATTGGTTTATCATTTATAATTAAAAGTATCCATGGGGCGCCTGGGTGGCGCAGTCGGTTAAGCGTCCGACTTCAGCCAGGTCACGATCTCGCGGTCCGTGAGTTCGAGTCCCGCGTCAGGCTCTGGGCTGATGGCTCAGAGCCTGGAGCCTGTTTCCGATTCTGTGTCTCCCTCTCTCTCTGCCCCTCCCCCGTTCATGCTCTGTCTCTCTCTGTCCCAAAAATAAATAAAATGTTGAAAAAAAAAAAGTTTAAAAAAAAAGTATCCAAGTAACTGACTATATAGTTTAAGAGGACTCTCTTTAGTAATGTTACAAATACGCATGGCTAATTAGTTGCTTATGACATCTTTATGGAGAAAACATAAAATAAGTTTCACTTATACTGCTATGATTATATACATACGTATAATGTAAACATCTGAAAAAGAGCTTTATACATGTTTTCATGAAATGTATTGTTTGGATTATACAAGATGATTAGTATTTTAAGATCTCTTTCAAACCAAAACTTTACAATTTAATGACCAATAGTCATTCCACCTTAATTCTGATTCCATATTTTTATAAATGTAAGAAGACATGAAAGACACATATAAATGTTAATGACTAGTATTCTGCTAGTAAAATTGGTTAGCAGTCTAAGTTTTTAAAAACAAATGTTATATTTCCAAACTTTTTTGTGTTATTAGGATAACATTTCATTTAGTCCCTGCCTTATAAGTGCCTTAAAATTTGGATTACTAGTAAATAACATAAGACCTCTTGACTCATTATCTAGAATTATAAGATTTCCAACATTAGAGAAAATGGACAGTGAGAGAATCTTTGTATTTCTAACTTTAATCATTTTAAAAACCTATCAATCCTACCTCCCTCTCTACTTTCTCAACCCCTCCCTTCCCTGCTCGTTAAGGGTATTTATTCTAATAAAATACAAATGTGACATAGAAGGGAAGAGTCAAATATTTTTAAAAAGTAAACAGGAAAAAAATGTATTTTTCCAACTGGAAAAATAAGCCCATGGGTTTCATACAAACCAGCACCATCCGATTATTTCTTCATCTTCCTTCTGCAGCTATTAATATGCTCCCACCTTCTCCCACCTTGTTCAATGACTTCAACAAGTCATTCAGAATTTTTCTACCTTATCACATTTCATCCATCTCTATGACATCACACTGATGCACAGAAGCAGGAATGTTAGCACAGGCAAGGACCTTTGAGGTTTAATAAAATGTTCAAGTAGTGAAGATTTCCAAGACCTTGGACTCAGACTTCGGTTTCGCAGCTTTAATTACTTTTACTCACCTCATCTTAGATTTCGTCATTGTGCAGATCCACTGCATTCCAAACTCTGAAATCCCTTGCTGACCAAAACTACTTTTGCTCATGGTACTTCTTTTATTCTCGCTGAATCTGCTACTTGCCCTCATCACCTCCTCACTCCCTGGACTCTTTTCTTCAAATCTTCACACGTTTTTAATATCTCTTACCTCCAGACACAGATGAACCATAATCATCTCTTTCAACAGTGCTATAAAGTTGCTTTGATTATATCAAATCTAAAATAACTAACCTCATCTTTCTTGGTTACAGTTTACGAATGTTGAATACTAGCAGAGGAAGTTATAAACTAAGATATATCTAGTACAGATACATGCTGTCTAACTCTATCCAATCCTGAATGCATCCTGTTCCTTCCCAGTAGAGCTGAAAATAGTGGTTGTTATATGCTGTTAACACAGTGGGTCCCTCTGACCAACAGGGTAATAGCATGTGACATAAGGAGAGTCTTGAAAAGTGCTCAAGTCTTTTACTCCTTTTTGACAACCATCCTGCCTCCATGTGAATGAGCCAAAATTAGGCTACTAGAAGATGAAAGTATTGTGGCCACGATTCCGGCTAAAATCAAGCCAATTACCAGGAACATAAAGCCCTTCCCAGACCAGAAACTCAGCCAACTGCCAGACAGAGTGAAGCTATCCTAGATCAGTCAGCCCCAGCCTTGCCAGTTCAAACCAAAAGAACCACTCAACCAATACACAGAACTGTGAGAAACATTTTATTTTAAGCCACCAAGTTAGCGTTGCTTTTTACACAGCAAAACCTATCCGATATAGCAGACTAACACACATATTAATAAAACTACTACTGACATTTAACTAATTCATAATAAAGTCTACCTTTAGTAAGTAAAAAGTGTAAGTAGAAAACTAGTTTTATTTCAGAAATTCACAATAATATGCTTAATTTTTTCAATCCATTCAACTGGTGACAACACATCAATTTGAAAATAATGTGCCAAAAGGAATAGAGATCATTACAAGTATTTGTAAACTTAAATAATTTTATAGTTTCTTTCACTCATTCTCTCTTAAAAACCAAAATGGTTTGTCTTATTCTTATGTTTGAACCTGAAAATGCTGCTTTACAGCCATTAAAATTTTAATTTTAACCAATATTCAGTTTTTTAAAAGTAGATTTATCACATTTTCAAATAAGGGCAAGTAAGATTAAAATCCTGGCTGGTAACATTCAAAATTTTAATGTGTAAGTATATACTCTGTTGTGCCTACCAGACAATGTTTTCTATCTTTTATTTTACCTATTGTCTTCCCTCCCAATTATCTTTAAAAAAACTTCAGTAACAGTCACTAAATTATTTAGTTATATGTTATGTGCCAGACACACTGCATATATTCTCTAATTTAATATTTAAGGCAGCCTGATGAGGAACTTGAACCCAGATCTGATTCTGAGGCATATTTTCTTAAACAATGTCTGACACTGAAGCCTATCCTATTATATCTGTTCAATGAATAACAAATGACAAACACTGAAATAGCAAGTTAAAAAAATAGCAAGTTAAAAAATGGCAAGTTAAAAAACTTCACGGAGGAAAATGTTAATTCCTAAGTCTGATGAAAGTCCTATTGGGGGGATAATTTTACATTTAGAAAGGACTCTTCACCAAGCTGTACACTTAGAACGTGTGTACCTTTCTGAGCATATGCTCTACTTCATACTTTTCTACCCACCCACCAGAAGGGCAGACCCCGATGAGGAGAGAAAAAATTTGTCTGAGTCCGGGTAAAACATTTTTAACAATTTACAAAAATGCACAGTACATATCTCAAAACAAGTCAGTAACATCTCTGCATCTGGCAAGCATAGGTTGTTAGATCTCTACTAGCTGCATTTCAGAGACAAATAACTATAGCCATACTATGTATCTTGTCAAACAACGTAAGAATGAGCCCCTTAATAATTTCATATAAACCATGCTTTACCTTCTTAGCTTACATCACAGTTATCATCCTTAGCAAATTTACTCTAAAACTGAGAGTACAGTAAATTAACACTCCGCTCTTGCCACCATGGGCCCAGTCCTGCCTCGTTTGGATCCTCAGGGCTTTATATGCTCCTGGCTCCTCATCCATCACAGGCTGTTCATTGTTACCTAATCATAATGCAACTGCATATGAGTGATGCCTAGACATTATTAGATAATTTGTGGACAAGGCAGTAAGATGATCTTGGGGACTCAGTGAAAAGTTAGACTGGAATGAAATACCAGGTCCATATAACTTAGTTGACTAAAGGCAGTTTTTACAAATACACAAGGTACTTAGGGTGAAGTGTCCAAGCTTCCCTTAGTCTGATACCATCAGTGTGGCCACCAAACTGAGCAAGAATCATTTAAGGAATGAGAGAGACTCAGGAAACCATACTTACTAAACACCAATATCCCCGCATGAAAACCTCTGGTCACATTTGCTAAAAAGAATCCTCTGAACTTTTTGCAGTCATCTGTAACTCCTATAAGATTTATAGAAGCCTCCCATCTAGCTCTCTGTAAGGCTTCTTGATCTCAACATCTCTCTGGCAGACTGATTTCTTTGCATTAAAAAAAAAAAAAGGCCCATGGCATTACAAATGATAATTGCATCGTGGCACTGCCTATCATGTATACCAAACTCTTCACTCTTACATTTAAGATGCAACTGAACTGCTAAATACCTTTGATAATTGTTTTGCTTACACTCCAGATTGACCCAAAAAAATGAAATGAGCTACGGTCAAAATGAAAGCATAATTCTCTCAAATGCCCATAACTATCAACAAATAAGTTAAACCATTAAATAATTTAAATAAATGATTTGAAGGGCGCCTGGGTGGCTCAGTGGGTTAAGTGTCTGACTTTGGCTCAGGTCATGATCTCACGGTTTGTGAGTTCGAGCTCCGTGTCAGGCTCTGTGCTGACAGCTTGGCGAGCTCAGAGCCTGCTTTGTATTCTGTGTGTGTGTCTCTCTCTCTGGCCCTCCCCTTCTCACACTTTGTCTCTCTCTGTCTCTCAAAAGAAATGAATAAACGTTTAAAAAAAATTTATAAATAAATAAATAAATAAAAGATTTGAACCTGAGTGCGGCACTTCCTCGAGCTTATCAGACATTCAGTTATCACTGAGGTCGTAGAAAATTCCAGCTTTGGAGCAATTCCCTGAGTAAAAAAATAATAATAAAAAAAGGTATTATTAATTATTTCAATTTCTGAAAAAATAGAACTATTAGTGATAAAACCATGACCTGAAGTAACAAACACTTATCAAGACTTAGCCGCTTCATTTGTTAGTTTGACCTTCCTACTAAAACTAAAGACAACACAGTGATGCTAAATGTTAGCAAGTAACAGTTTCATTGCTGATGATTCCCTTACAAGTGATTATATTACCTTTATGTAAAACAGAATGCTTTTTCCATTTTCCAGTATTTCCCTGTCAAATTATTCTAAGATTTTTAAACTATGATACAATAATACTAAAGTCAGAAATATATAAAAACACTTAATGGATTTGAGCTCTTTTTACTTTTACAAATTAACTTACTTAACTACACAATCAAGAAGTACTTTGGTGGCGCTTAGGTGGGTTAGTTGGTTAAGCATCTGACTCTTGATTTCGGCTCAGGTCCTGACCTCATTGTTCGTGAGATCCAGCCCCGCACTGGGGCTCTGTGCTATTAGCTTGCAATGCTTGGGATTCTCCCTCTCCTCTATCTCTCTGCCGCTCCCTCCTCCTCCTCCTGCTTGTGCTCTCTCTCTCTCTCTCTCTCCTTTTCAAAATAAATAAACTTAAAAAAAATACTTTGGACACTCTCCTCATGTTAAAAAAAATTACACCTTGTAGATATGCAGTTCTTGAAACAGAAGAGAGATAAGTCTCTACCAACTCCGCCAACATTTCTCCCCTTAATGTATGAGTTACATTCAGATCTATGAATGAATCTGGCTTCTATTGCTCGCAACATTTCAAATATCAGCTTTAACGCTGTTTTGAAATAAGTGGAGACAAATGGTAAAATTCAAAGGAACAGTCACAAAGCACCTGCTGAAATATTTGGAAGCACACAAATCACACATTCACCAAAACATGAAAAGATATTGTGTATGCCCAGTGCAACTTCATTCTAATGTAGAAGTCAGATATTCGTCCTCTACAAACCCAGCCTTTGACCTACTAACTTGAGAATTTCAAACATCACACATTACAGAAAAGGTAAATATGAGTTGCCTGACAATTAACCAAATGATTGTTTTTCTGCAATCCTCTTTTATTAATGATGCCCACCATGCCTATTTATTAGTTATCTATTGCTACACTGCATATTACTTAGTAGTTTATAACGAATGTACGTGCTTATTATTTCACATACTTTCTATGGGTCAGGAATCTGGCAGAAGCTGAACTGGGTGGTTCTTGGCTCAAAATCTCTCATGAGATTGCAGTCAAGATGTTTGGGCTGCCGTTATCTGAAGGTTTACCGGGGGCAAGAGGATCTGCTTCCTAAGAAGGCTCATTCACACAGCTGTTGGCTGGAGGCCTCAGTTCTTTTCTAGTTTTTAGCAAGAGGACTCAGCTCCTCAACACGTAAACATCCTGAGTGTCTTCATGACACGGCAGCTAAGTTCTCCCAAAGCAAAGCAAGGAGAAAGCCACAATTGTTATTATGACTTACTCACCTAAGTCTAACACTGTCACATCTATCTCATTGTATTCATTACAGCCCTGAAGTACAGCCCACACTCAAGGACAAAGGAGTTAGACTTCCTTTTCAGCGGAGGAATATCAAACATTTGTGGACATATTTTATTTCATTTTTTAAAAAATTTTTAAATGTTTGTTTATTTTTGAGAAAGAGAGAGAGAAAGAGAGACAGAGCGAGCGGGGAAGGGGCAGAGAGAGGAGACACAGAGTCAGAAGCAGGCTCCAGGCTCTCAGCTATCAGCATGGAGCACGACACAGGGCTCAAACTCACAAATGGTGAGATCACAACCTGAGCCAAAGTCAGGCACTTAACCAACTGAGCCACCCAGGCGCCCCTTATTTCATTTTTAATGTTTTTATTTATTTTTGAGAGAAAGAGAGACAGAGTATGAGCAGGGGAGGGACACAGAGGGAGGGAGACACAGAATCTGAAGCAGGATCCAGGCTCTGAGCTATCAGCACAGAGCCTGACACGGGGCTCAAACCCACAAACCATGAGATCATGACCTGAACCGAAGTCAGATGCCACCCGGGTGCCCCATGGTGGACTTATTTTAAAACCACCAGTCTACCCTCTGACCACAAGTTACTTAGACTCCTTTCATGTGTAAACTAAACTCATGCCCTATAAAGAAAAAAGAAAAAAAGAAAAGGGAAAGAAAGCAAGCAAAGCAAAGCAAAGTCTCATCCTTTTACAACTTCAGCTTGAAATCCAGGATGTTGGCATCTAAGTCAAGTCCTTATTCAACCTCCACAGATGTGGTTCTTTAAGAGCAGTTCTGACAATACAGTCCCTCACAGTTGGAAGACTTGTGAACCAAAGAGACAAGATGTCTGCCCCACATATACCCAAAATACACATGTACAGCAGGCATAGGATAACCACTACAGATATTCTTATTAACAAAAGGAGAAAACAAGAGGCAAACAGGAATCACTGGCCCACTGAAATTCTAAAATCCAGCCAGGAAAATGTTAGAAGTTCCTTGATTAGAAGTTTAGCCCTGTTCCTGATCAGAAATAACTATTCTCTGGGCTCCTCTGGGCTCTTGCTTCCATCCTCTAAATTATCATTCCTTCTCAATGAGAGGTAGACCATATGTTAGAGCTGCACAGTGTTCTGAGTGTGAGTCCTGTCAACAGAATTCTGGGGGTCCAATTTTCATTTTGTGAGGTCTCTCTGCATTTCAGACCAAGCTGGCGGTATTTCCAACAATATAATGCTCTTTATTTTTTTTTTAAATTTTTTAACATTTATTTATTTTTGAGACAGAGAGAGAGAGAGAGAGCATGAACAGGGGAGGGTCAGAGAAAGAGGGAGACACAGAATCCGAAACAGGCTCTAGGCTCTGAGCTGTCAGCAAAGAGCCCGACGTGGGGCTCGAACCCACGGACCGCGAGATCATGACCTGAGCTGGAGTTGGACGCTTAACCGACTGAGCCACCCAGGCACCCCAATATAATGCTCTTTAAAAACATGTGTGGTTCTCCTATGAATCTTATTGCAGTTCACTCCATTAGACCAAAGCTGCACGCTTCTCTCCACTGGGCTTCTGCTGAGACTGCCCTTACGCATCTTCAAAAAAACCTGATATTCGATTAAATTATTTTCTAAGACAACATCTTGGATCTTTCTGAGATTTTAATGAAGGATTATATAGTCACACCCTAGGTTTCACCATCAGACCACAATTTCCCAAAAGTGCCTGGAATGATTTTTGCTCAGAAGTCAACCCTTAATTTTAGCATTATCTGCCATTGGGAAAAGTGGGGAATCTTCAGAAACAGTAAGTTCCAACTCCTTTTTGCTAAACAGCCTTTCCTTTTGCTTACCTCTCTCCTCTCATACTTTGCTATAAAGCAGCAAGAGAAAACCAAGCAGACTCTCTAACAATCTACCTGAAAGTCTTAGACCACTCATTTCCTTAAATATTTCTCTACATTACTGCAGATGACTATATGGCTAAATTTTCTGCCATTACATCACAAAGATTCCTCTTTTTATTTATTATTTATTATTTATTTTTAATTTTTTTAATGTTTATTTATTTTTGAGAGAGAGAGTATGAGCAGGGCAGGGGCAGAGAGAAAGAGTGAGACACAGAATCTGAAGCAGGCTCCAAGCTTTTAGCACAGAGCCTGATGCGGGGCTCAAACTCAAGAACGGTGAGATAATGACCTGAGCCAAAGTCAGATGCTTAGCCAACTGAGCCACCCAGATGCCCCAATAAAGATTCCTTTTAACCCTAATTCCCATAACATTTACCTTACTTTCTGCAAACACGCATCTGACAGTTTCTTCAAGACCTTTCAAGCTTTTACAAACATTCTAGCAAGGCCTTCCCAGCTTCTGCCCTCTCTGTACAGTTGCTTGAGTATCTTCACACATGGCAGTTGGCTTAGCCCAAAGTAAGCGATACAAGGGTGAGTACAAGAAGAAAGCCACAATGTATTTAAAGACCTGGTCTCCAAGGTCCAATACTGTCACTTCACCACATTTTATCTGTTAGAGTCACTAAGTATAGTCTGTAGAATTAGCTCCACCTTTGGAAGAGAGAAGTATCAAATCATTTGTGGACGTATTTTATAACTACCATAGCCTGGATTGCAACTTATCACTTTACCCTTCCCCACATATTGCTGGTCATATAGTAAATACTCAGTGTTTTAGCCATTATTTTCACTGAGCATTCAAAACCATTGTGTTGGGGTTCTCTGGGAAAACAGAACTAATAGGAGAGGGAGGGAGAGAAAGAGAGAGAGAGCGCGCAAGATTTATTTTAAGGAATTGGCTCATGCAATTATGAGAGTGGCAAGTCCAAAATCCAGAGGGCAATCCAGAGGCTAGCAACTCAGACAAAAGTTGATATCACAGTCTTGTGTGTGAAATCTGTATGCAAGCTAGCCGGGTAAAATTTAGGTTGTATCTCTACATTATAGTTTTGAGGCAGAATCCCTTATTGTTTGGGAAACCTTAGGTTTTGCTCTTCAGGCCTTCAACTAATTGGATGAGATCCACCTACATTGTCAATGGTAATCTCCTATACTTAAAGTCAACTGTTTGTAAACATTAATTACATCTACAAAATACTTTCACAGTAACATCTAGACTAGAGTTTGACGAAACAACTGGGCACCATAACCTAACCAAGTTGATGCCTAAAATTAATCATCACTCCATCTCAAATGTCAGTTCCTCTATGATGTCTATAAGATGTAATTCATTCATTCAATTCAATCAAGAGGCATTTGAGTACCTATTCCATGCAAAGTACTGCGTGAACACTTAAATTTAAAGAAGAGAAAGCCACAGATCCTGTTTCTATGGAGTTCACAGTCTAAAGGAGACTATCATCATCATCACCACTGTCATGATCTCCACAGCCATCATCATATCACTAACATTTATTGAGTGTTCTCTGTGCCAGGTACTGCTACAACCATTTACAAGGTTTCA